AATATTTTTGCTCAAAAACCGGTACTGGTAAGGGTAGTGTTAGGAGACGCCCTCCCCCATGGGAGCTCCAGTCCAGACCACTCTGAATGGGCAGGTTGCTTCCCCTCTCTCGGGTTCGCTGTCGTGCATCTTCTGCTGACTAGGAGTGATGATTCCACCTACAGGGTTGTCATAATTGTTAAAGAAGAGGACTCTTAAGTAGGTGAAATGGCTGTGTGGACTGCCAGGCTGTTCTTATTTTGGGGTTGTTGATGGTAGTAGGGTACTCTCCAGTATCATTTTTCTGTATATGATCACAGTTCTTTTCTGGACCTTCTCGTAACTTCACCCCATCCCACCCATCTCCACCCTCACTCTACCTTCTCTGCTGGGACCCCCGAGGGCAGGGTTTGTTTTTAAGTAACAAAGCATGTTGACCAATAATCTTTACTAACACATATGATTACAGCGCTTACGTGTAAAAGACAAAGAGTATTTGACTTGGAAGAGAATTCAGTGTCAATTCAGAATACCCCAGCTCAGGAAACAAATCCATGGATAGTCAGGAAGGCATGTGGTGGTTTTAAGGTACAGTTTTCAAAAAGGTGAAATCATGACTCTAGCGCAAATACAAAATGAAACTTATTCAACTCATTAATTAATGAAGGAATCAGTAAGATATTTAGGCCAGTTCAAAAAGCTTTTGAGGAGCTAGGTACTTATAGGTAATTTAATGTTAGGACAAGGTTGATGGGTTAGGTCCGTAACTAGTTAATGTCCTACAGGACAATAAGCCATAACCTTTGGGGTTATCTTTTCTGAAAGAACAAAAATTATTTGTATTTATATCTCTGCTAGACAAAAATTTACAAGTTAACATGTAACTTCAGCAAGTCTTGGAGTAGAGCAAAGTCAATTTCTCTAGATAATCCTTTTGGGGATGGGGGGAGGGGCGCCAATGTCATAGTGCCACCATATGACGTTGAAAGGCTGTGCCACCCACCTTTCTGTCTTATGTCCAGGTTTTGGATAATTGTTTTTTAGCAATAATAAATACTTATTTAACTTTACAAACAACGTTTTAATCTTACACGATGCTTTAATAGCCCTGTTGAAGCAAAAAGGGCAGGAAAACCCATTTTCCAGGGGAGGAAACTGTTACACAAGGAGGGGGAGCTGAGCTGAAGGAAGAATCCCCATTTTCTAGCCCCGAGACCCATACTCATCCCTAACTCCACGTCGCATTTCTCCCTTTCACTTCCTCTTCATCTCAGTCCTACACTGTTCTTGGTGACATTTTTCCCCTTAGGACTTCCGTTGGGGTTCACCTGAAAGTAAATGCTCAAAGGAGGGAGGAATCCCATGCTGCCCCTGCCTCGCACATCCCCAGGGGCTCCTGGTCTCATCTAAGTCCTTTTAAGTCCCTGCCATGATTCAGTTCCACAACATCATTTGAAGCATATCCTCCTAGCTTGAGCCAAAGAAAACTGTCAAAACATTTTATCCTCCCCTCAGGAAAAAGGACAGAATAGACGCTGCATTCCAAGAACCCAATTTTTTTAAATGATGGCTCCTTTTAAGCTCTTCTAGTCTCAGCTACTGTGAGCCACTGCGACATCTTTCATCTGAGATGGAGTCCACATCAGAGAAACCTGCTGTTTATAAACCGGAATATCTCATTTGAAACACTCTTTCTGGTTGATGTGTTCCCGTCCTCAATAAACAGGATCATCATTTCTGTGTCAGAGATCTCTGGGTCTGTCTGGCTCCTGGATGAATGGCATGCGATGGACAAATGGCTATTTACTGTGTTCAGCAGTTGGCCAGGGACCCGGCTGTGAGCCGGCCTGATGGCCCAAATCTATTTCTTCCTCGCAAGGCCATTTATTTTTCTCTCCCACGGACTTCTGTCGCCATGGAAACTATCCCACTAGCAGGATGGAAACCAAGGCCACCTCTGCTTCCTGCACCTAGTCAGAGAGGCGACACACGAAACAAAGTAGAGCATTAGAAAGTGTCTGAGGTGTGCAGTTAGAAAAGTCGCTCCTCTGAAGTTCCCTAGAATTCTGCAGCTGGGAAAAAAAAATTGAGAACATCTGATTCAGGGTCTCTCAGACTGTTTACACAAGGTGATGACAACAACGACAAACACGCAGTGCATGATAAGTGCATCCTAAGCCCTTTCCATGTGGCGTTAACCCATTTAACTCCAGGAGGCAGGTTGGTTCTTGTTATCCCCATGACATAGATGAAGAAACTGACCCTCTGCAAGTCCAGTCACTTGCCCAAGCCCAGCAGAAGAAGGGACAAAATTGAGAGGAAAGCCCAGAACTTCTGGTCCCCAAGCCTAGACTTCTTAACCCAAAATAGCTGCCTGCCCTCCTCCTCTCCTCTCCTCTTCTCGTGTAGCCTGGCGCTCAAAGGCTCTGGAAGTCCCTGCACATCTGGCATCTGCCATTTTCATTTGATCCTGTAATCCTTCCCGCCCCCAGCTGTAAACCACTTTGAAACATGTCACAGAACAATGATTCTGCAGAACAGAATTTGGGCAACCCTGATCCAGGCCAGTTTTCTCATTTTACGGAGAGGCAACCAAGGCAGGCCAAGGAAATGAGTTGCCTCTAGCTGCACAGCTAATAAATGTCAGAGTTGGCACCATAGGTCCAGCCCCAGCCCGTAGGCCAGGGCCCTGCTGTGCCGTGTTGCCTTACGTCACTATTTCTAAACCAAACCCCGAGCCAGCAGCTCAACTCCCACAGCCAAGCATCAGGACTAATCCCCTTGTAGGCTGACTGTTAAATCAGCCGCTCATTAGAAGAACAATGATGCTCAAGCATGCAGGGAGCTTCGCCACTTACGAAATGTTTCACATAGCTCATCTGTTTCTAGGCCTCGCCGCCTCTGGGTCTATCTGACACGGTCCAACAGTGAAACCTTATTCATAAATTGTATACCTCCCAAAATAACCTTTGAATCACTCAAATATTAAGTGTGAAAGGATGAGTGTATTTCAACTAGTAGAATCCAAGGTGTCAAGAGCAAGAGGCGGAAGTCTGCAGGGTTTAAATGCCAGCGGCTTGAGGGAGCAAAGGTCTGCCTGCTCTTGAAAGTTCCTGAACTTAGGGTGACGTCTTGGTGGTGAGCATCGTCTTGTTTTTCAATTTGACCATGAATCTAGCACTGAACAGGCATGACTATGAATGTGCTTCCCTTCGAATGATTGCAACGTGGCCCTTACTCCCCGAGCGGTGAATGTGTATTAGACAGAACAGCATAGTCTGGGAAGACATGGTGTGAACAGCAGGCGCCAAGTGGGAGGCATGGAGCTGTTATGTGGGAAGATTTGGGGTGCAGAAGAAAAACATTTCATTTCGTGTCCTTCCTTGAATTCTAACATTCGCAACGAGGACGGCCTCACAAGTTTCATTACTTGTTTTCCCCCTCCTCGCTTAAAAGCAAAGAGGGTGGACGAGGCATGTCCCAAAGCGCGTGCTCAGACGGCGACACCCTGCCCATCAAGCTCCTTTGTACCTTTTTGCCCTCGTGCTTTCTCCTCCTCCTGCTAGGAATCTCTTTCTCCTCCTTTTCTGCCTGTTCATCTTGCACAGCTCCAATCCAGAGTCACCTCCTCTGAGAAGGCACCCTGGACTTCCCACATTGGTTTATTCACACCTCCCTCTGTGCTCCTAAGGTCTGTGTGCGAAATAGTAGCACCTGCCATTTTTAGTACCTAATGTCATCTGCACTTTACACACATTATCTCTGTACCCATTTGGCAGATGAGAAAACTGGAGGCTCAGTTGTCCCAAGGCCACTGTGGCTGTTAAGTCGTGAAGCTGGGATTGGAATCCTGGCCTCTCAGGCTCCAAAGTCCAGGCCTTTCTACGCCACAACAGGCAGCTTCCCTTGCCTCAAACTTACCCCTTCCAGGAGCAGGTGATAAGCATGTGTTTCCCTCTGCATCTCCACCTAGACTGTGAGCTCCTCCATGGCACCCCAGAGTCTTATGACGCATCCTTTTGCCTGGCACATAGTAGATGCTAAATAAATGGTTAAGCGACTCAGTAGTTTGATGAATGAGGAACTTATCCCTTTATCTCGCTAGTTGATGGAGCCCTGCTTCTCATAAAATCCCCGTACCTGTGCATACCTGTAGCGCATCGTCCTCCCCGCCCACTCCCAGGGGAGAGTTAGTCAGTTTCTCAGCCAGCAGACCCATATACTAACTGCCTGCTTCTCCAATTTTAGGGTGATACAAATCTGAATTTTGGTAAAGTGCAGATTCTGATTCAAAAGAGCTGGGCTGGGGCCTGAGGGGTTGCGTTTCTGGCCAGCTTCCAGTGATGCTGCTGGTTTGAAGGCCCCATTTGAGAGCCATTTGGGTGTAAACACATCAGCAGCAGCCACCAATGCACTTTGGTTACCTTTGGCTGGTAACGAATAATAAAACCTGCCTCATGCTAGTTGCTCTCCTTCCAAAGGACGACTAGGCTTCCAATGCCCCTGATTTACCGTGTTTTAGCAAAATATTTAAGTTATGCTTTGAGCTATAAACATTTGGCAGGATGGACGTTTGTTTGTGCCTGTAGCTTTGGTTTAGTCGCACCCTATCAATAAATCACAAATAGATGAGGGAGAGGAGACACGGGCTGGGAGATTCCATTCCTGTGACAAGTGGATCAGGGGAGTGGGTGAGGGTTGGGGAAGGAGCAGATGATCCCTCACGGTGGAGGGTTTCCAACACGGCCTTGGTGTCTGCTGACAGCCCTGGAGGCTGGGCAGGAGCTCCCGCTGCATTTTTACTGGGAAGCGCCCCACCCTTCCATACTTGCCTGCCCCATGGCCACTTTCCCGGCTGGTCTTCTCCATTCCTGGTAAACAGTAAGTGATGGCTTATTCATCTCGAGCCCTTTGAACCCCACACAATCCCTTTGCTGGCATGCCAAGTCTTTTAGAGGTCAAGCGTCCGCTGTCCAAGATGTTTAGAAGGAAAACGCCCTCTTTTCTGTCTCCTTTTCCAGATGTCCCTGGGCCAGCAACAGTCAGCGAGAGGTGTGCCTTGTTTGAGATGCAAGGGGACGTGTTCAGGCTTCGAGCCACATCCATGGAGGTAATAGAGTTTGTCAGGAGAGGCTCTGCCTGCCTTCATTTCTTGGCTGTCCTTTCTGGGAACCCTGGTCATTCTCTGCTGGGACTGCTTAGGACGCATGCATTGCGGGAGGACTGGCTCGGGCGTGAATGCACTCCTGCTTGGCCTGATTCAGAAATGACAGAAAAGCCCTCGGGGAGCCAAGATGAAGAAGTTTAGTGCTTCGTAAACCACTTCCAGGTGGAGGCTGCATAGATCAGCCCAGCAAGAACTGCCCTGGGAAGATGTGGCCCGTTGTTAGCTGGTGCCTTGTCCGTTCCGGGTAGAACTGTCTGTCCTGGGGGTTGGTGTTTGTGCTTGATCTCCCCCTCCTGCACCAGCATCCCTGTTGGTGGGTTTTGATCTAAGAGTGCCCCTGGGACAGAAGTGAAAGTCTTTGGGTCCACTGTACTTAAAAACCAGGACCTGGTATTCATCCCCATGCGGGAGGGCCGTTAGCTCCAGCTGGACTTGGCTATGCAGAGCTTTTCTTTCTTCTTTTCATTGAGGACTCTGGAAACAAGAGGTGGGGCTGCCACACGGCACGTCTCCCGGGCACTGTTCACATCAGCATCTATGTGGATGGCACCCCCTGGAGTTGTGCGGGGCGCAGCCTGTGTGACATCCCTGCTGCCCGAGGAGAGAGAGGCTCTGTAAGGCACAACAGCAAAGAAGGAGCTTTTGTCTTCACTGCCAGAGGGTTGCCTTGGGCACTCAGCGGGGGAACAAAATTTGGGAGGTGTTCGTCTCAGAGATGTCGGCTTCCATTGTGAGATGGCCATTACAAAAATATTTATTGAGCTGAGCTAAATCTTTTCTATTTAAATGGTGAAATAACCCTAAGCAGTAGGTATTCATATCTCCATTTTGTCGATCAGGAAACTGAGAGTGAGCAACGGGGAGTGCTGCTAAATGGCAGAGTTCAAACTCGGGGCTGCGTGAAACCCCAGCCCATGCTCGCTATTGGTCTGCAGCACTGCAGGCCCTGAGCTTTCAGAGCACAGGGCTGTTCCTTGCCTCCATTCTCTGGCAGTCCTCACCTCAGGAGCTTATGTGGTCTTCTCGATGCAAGGGACCTTCAAGGTCATCTAGTCCCGGCTCCCATCCCCTGTTCCTCCCACGAATTCCTCCCACAGCTAAAACACTCCCAGAAGGCGGAACTCCCCACCCATCTATTTTGAGCGCTTGAGCTCTTTCTGGCCTTGAAGAGTCAGCTTCCATATCGTTTCACCCCAGTGGTCCTGAATCTGCCATCAGGGTGTCGTAGAACAATGTTGACGACTCAGCTCTCTGAAGCCATCTGGGTCACCTCCTTTCAGAGTTCTTAGGGCAGGGGGATAAGGTTCCGGAAATGCACACACCAAGTCAGCTCAATAATATTTCCCTTCTCTTAAGGGCCACAGTCCCTCGTTGCCTGTTGTCTGACACCTGAAAATGATCGTTTAATATACTTTGTCTGGTTTTCTAGTTGTCTATGGCAGGAGAGCAGTTCTGGACCCTGTTTCTCATGGCTGGAAGCAGAAGTCTTTCAGCCTTAGTTTTAATTCCTGCATTTCCTCATCATCCTGCAAATGATTTGAACATCAAGTGAATTTATCCTTGAGAACTAGGCTTGTAGGTCCTGGATATCAAGTGTCATCTTTGGTTTGAGCAACCTTAACAGGGACCTAAATTCAAGCCCTCTTGGGGCAGGAAGATCCCAGAACCTTAGAGGGGAAACCTTGTCAAGCCATTTTTATGTTCCAGTTCTCACAATCTCAATAGTTTGAAAGATATTTAAATGATCAAAGTGGCAGCCAGCCTGGTTTAGTGGGAAAGTCCCTCGACTAATAAGCACAGGACAGAATTCACATGCTGACTCTGCTTGAACAAGACATTTCCCTTCTCGAAGCCTCAGATTTCCCATCTGAAAAATGGGAGCGTTGGAGCTGAAGTGCTCTAGGATCCCCGTCCGGCTTTACAGTTAATTCCATAGTTTCAGGCAAATTGTCTGTAATCGCATTAATGATCCCCATGGTTGTCGAATTAGATTGGGCTTAGTATTAGTAGCACAGAAGTAGGAGTGCTTAGAGAGGAGGGTACAGAGTGAAGACAAGAGCAGACTTTCGGAACAAAATATCATGAAAACATAAGGAGGAAGTTCGCCCAGCAGCCTCAGCATCCTGCTTTCCACATCGCCCTCTTGGGCTCCCTGCCCACCTGGCCAACTTCGCAGGATGCTGAATTGCCACTCAGGGCAGAGGAAAACATGCCTCCAGGCCTCCAGGCTTTTCAAGAGAGCCCAGCGCAAGGTCTCTTCCTTGCCTGCGGAGATTTTCTTCTTCTTCTTCTAATAGCTTTCTTTTTTAAATGTACAGTGACTTCAGTGAGTAGAGAAAAAAACCTTGATTTGAGGAGAGCAGGGGACATCGTACAAAAACGGAAGAGAGACGCCTGGCTCTTAAATTACAAAAGTTTACCTTCTTCCAGGCTGGCTCTTGATCCCTCCTCCCACCCTCCTCGGGCAGCACCCCTTCTGATCAGGGCCTGTCTCCACGCCAGCTTCAGCAACTGCCCCGGGAACCGCCCTTTTACCTCTGCCTCTTCTCTCTGGGGCAGGGGACAGATAACTCTGCTGTAAGAGCTGGGCTTCCTGTGCTTTTCAAGGGACGATCTAGAGAGGTCAGCCCGAGGGGCTTAAATTCTTGAAAGGGACCGAGTGGCGACTCTCGCACCTTGGTGTGTGTCAGAATCACCTCTGGTACGTGATCACGAGTGCCCATGCCCAGATCCCACGCCAGCCCGGTGAATCTGACCACCTGGAGCCGGGGCAGGGCATATCCAAGTTTACCAGCGAGGTTTGAAATCTCATCACCTAGACCAGGGATCAGCACGCTTTCTGTAAAGGGCCGGATAGTAATCATTTTAGGTTTTGCAGACCAGGTGATCTCTGTCACCCCTATTCAACTTGGCCCTTATAGCATGAAAGCATCCATAGACAATATGTAAATGAATGAACGTCATTGTGTTTCAATAAAACTTTATTTAAGGACACTGAAATTTGAATTTCACATCATTTTCACGTGTCACAAGATAGTAATCTTCTTTTGAATTTTTTTCAACCGTTTAAAAATGTAAGGACTATTCTTAGTCTTTCATGGGCCATACAGAAATAGGTGATGGGCCAGATTTGACCCACGGGCCATAGTTTGCTGTCCCCTGATGTAGAACAACCTCTCGTTTTACAGATAAGAAACTTGACCTTGGGCCTGTGGTGGGCTAGTGTGCAGGCTGGCATTAGATGCCAAGGCTGTGCCTCTTCCGCAGTTCTGGGTTGCCTACGACAGATGGCAGAAATGGCCATTTTAACCAGTGAGGACCTTTCTAGTGTGTCTGTGTCCCCTACAGTGTGGGTGCCTGGAAAGAGCAGAGGGGGCTCGAGGGGTGTCTTCCTTATCTAGGAAGTCCCAGCAATGTGCCTGGCAACATAAAAGGAGAAGTAATGTTGACACAATCTCAAAGAACATCTCATAATTGTCAACATTTTCCATTTCAAAGTGTTTTGCATTCCCAACATCTCTGATAGCATCCTGAGCGTCTACATCAGCCAAAAAAGCAAAGGGCAGCTTCTTCACCCGGCTCCGTGTGTGGAAGCTATTGGCGAGGTCAGAGGATCTGAATGGACACCGGGCTTTCCTTCACTTCCCCCCTCTTCCTCCTCCTTCTGCTTCCTGCTCTGCTGCTGTCATTCCCCACATTGGAGCTATCACCTCTCTTCTTAGGAAGTAGTCTCCTCCATGCCCGGCTGGTAAAAGGGAGAGGCAAGAGAATATTATCGATCATGAACAAAATGCCCCGATTTTGCAAAGCAAGCAACCCCTTCGTATGAGAACGAAAAGACTTCTTGTTTTTGCCTCACATCACTTTAGGGCCGTATTCTCTTTTGTAGTGCTGGAATTTCCCTGAGATTGTCTATTTTGAGCTTTCTCAAATTGCAGCCCACTGAATGTAAACTTGGACTGCGAGTGCCTCCTTAAATCACGGTGGAGATGCTGCCTTCTCCTCCCCTCAAAGTCACGCTGCACATCAGTGCACAAAAACAAGCAGCAGCCTTGCCCTGAAGGAATGTGTCTGACCTTCTGTAACCCACTGTGTTCCAAACTCAGCGCCACCAAGCCTTTTGCCACACGCCACATGCTTACATCCTGGAGGAACTGGGCCGGGCCAGCAGAACGACCCCAGAGCATATACAACTCCCCTGTGCCCCAACCTAGTCTACTTTATGTCAGAGTTTCCATCTGAGTCTCTCTCCCTCTCCCATCCCATCTGTAGGCTCCTTGAAGGTTACGATGGGGCCTCCTTCTCTTCATATTATACAAGGGTTTCTCAGTCTCAGCACTATTGACATTTTGGACCGACTAATTCTTTGTTGTGGAGGGGGCTATCCTGTGTATTGTAGGATGTTTAGTGGCATCCCTGACTTCTAGCTTATAGAAGCTGGTAGCCCCCCATTGTGACAATCCAAAGAGTCTCCAGATGTTGGCAGATGCCCCCTGGGAGCCAGGATTGGTGGGGAACCACTAACGTAGACCATCAAGGCATGCCCCTGCTAGCCCCCAAATCAATATTTGTGCTATATGATTAAATGCGTCAACCTCCTGAGTTTAGAGGAGAAAGTAGGGTTCCTTCGGGCTTGCCTGGCTATGGAGCTCTCAGACAACAGCTGTGCCATCTCCCTGCATAGGCCTGCCCCGTCCCCCCGGTAGGTCCTGACATTGCTCACTTTACTTAACAAGCTCTTAAACCGCATGCACACGTTAGAGCATCTGAGACACAGCACGCTTACAGTGACAAGCCAGAAGGGAGGAGCACAATTTTCCTCTCCCACCATGGAACTCTCTGGATTTCTAAACCTTAACAACATGATGCTAAGCAGCCAAACACTCTTGTTTTTAATTGTCAGAGAGAAGTGTCAGGCTTTCAAGTGAATTTGAAGCTTCCCCAGGATGCTGTTCCTTCTCCCGGCCTCACAAGAATGGCTTGCCAGTGAACATCGATCTCTCCAGCCCCGGGACTTTTCTAAGCTTATTCCCTTCCCCCTGGGTCCTGTCCACCAGTTTCTTGAATACAATTTCCAGCTGTATTCTAACTTAAGTATGAGTGCTAAAGAGTTTAAAAGTTGCAGAAGCTCCAAGACTCATAAATCTTGGGAGACAATTTCAATAATTCTTTAGACAGGGGTCAGCACACTTTTTTTGTAAAGGGCCAGATAGTGGATATTTTAGATTTTGCAGGCCACATGGTCTCTGTTGCAATTCCTCAAGTCTGCCATTGTAGCCCAAAAGCAGCCACGGACAATATGTAAATGAATGGGCATGGCTGTGTTCCAATAAAACTTTATTTACAGCAGCAAGTTGTGGGCCGTGTTCAGCCAGGTCTTTGTCACCACAACCACCATGAGGAAAGATGTATTGCTCTCTTTACCAGCAAAAGGCGTATCCCACGTTCCCTACAGACAGACAGACAGACTGATGGAAAGACTGGAGCCTTCCAGATGCAGCTCCCAGTCGCAAAGGCCTTTTGGTCTGAGGTTACCATTTGTCTGCCGCTAATGTTTCAAGCTACTAAAGTCAAACTTTGAGTCTGTTTTCAAAAAGGTAGATGCTGCCAGCGGGAGCCTCTGCCTCTCTTTTCTGCATCTCATTTGTCCTGATCCCCTGTCCCCCCCAGGAAAATATGCAAGTCATGCAAATGCAGCCAAGAGGACCACTGCCTGAGCTCCGACCTGGAAGACGATCGGAAAATTGGCCGCTTGCTGATGGACTCAAAGTACTCCACCCTCACGGCCCGGGTGAAAGGCGGGGACGGCATCCGGATTTACAAGAGGAATCGGATGATCATGACTAATCCCATTGCCACGGGGAAAGATCCCACCTTTGACACCATCACCTACGAGTGGGCTCCCCCTGGAGTCACCCAGAAACTGGTAAGACGGCTTCCTCCAACCAAGCGGTTGTTTTCCTACCCTTGTAAATATTAGCCATGCCACAAGTTCCTGAATTTCAAAGACAAGGTAAGAAGAGGGCAGGGTTACACAAATGGTGGGAATGGCTATGGTTTGGAACCTGCTGTAGCCTATGTCATCTTGAAGTGAACACTGAGTGGGCCTCAGTTGTCCTCATCTATGAAGTGGGTAGAGGTGTTGATATGAATTCTGAGGGCCTTTCCAGCTCTAGTACGGGGCTGTCCATGGTGCTTTTTGGGCTCCCCACTTCTGAGCAGAGGATGGTTTATCATTCAGGACTCTCAGAGTGCTTATCTTCATCTGTAAGATGTTCATTTTCCCTCAAAGTGGCCTGGGATGTGCTCTTCCCGAGCCCATGGAAGAGCAGAGAAACAGCCTTCGATTCAACAGCTGAAGCTTCTTGGGCTTAGAAGGGGGAACCAAACTGGCTTTACACAACTCTGGGGAAGAGGCACCCAGAGAACAACAAGGCCCAGGGAGAACAAGGGACTTGCACAAGGTCCCACGCTGCCTGCCCACTTACAAGGACCCGTAAGAAGTCCCCATGCACAGGCCTCCCCCAGACGATTAAATCAGAAGGTCTGGATTGTGGGATCAGAATTACCAGCTCATTTACATGAGTATTTAAATGACTCTCCAGGTCATGCCACATGCGGCCACCTCCAACACCCAGTGGAACAGACCAGTGTTCCTCAAATTTCAGCCGGCATGCAGATCATCTGGAGAGTTTGCAGAAGTGCATCCAGGGGGCTTAGGCCGGTCCTGAGATTCTGCACTCCTGACAAGCTCCCAGGTGATGCCTATGCTGCGGGCCCCCAGCCACACCTGGAGCAGCAAGGGCCTAGCTGACTTCTACAGGTCAATGAGAGAAAAGAAGCCCCACAATTTTAGAGATGCAAGCCTGGCATCTCATTCATCCCTCCTGGGAGAAAAGGGGAGCTGTTGGAGTCCTGCGTGGTCCTGTCCCCACAGGCTCCTCCCACGGCTCCCACTGCGCCCCCTCACTCAGCACCTTATGGCGCACTGACCTTCCTCCTTCCTGCTCGGGAACACACTAAGCTCTTGCCCTTCTCAGGGACTCTGCACTTGCTGTTCCCTTTACATGACGTGTTTTTTGCCTGCTCTTTTTGTGGCTGGGTCCTTCTGACAGGCAATTCTCTAACTGCCCCACCTGCGGTGGATGCCACCATCCACTTGGTACATTATCCTCTCTCTCTCAGTTCTCCCTTGTTTCTTTAGAAGCTTATCTCAAGCTGCACCTGTCTTGTGTGTCTTTGCTTAGTTGTCATCTCTCTCCCACGCTGGAGTGAAGGGAGGCCCGCGAGGGTGGGTGCCATGCCCATCCTGGGCACCGCCCTCTCCAGCACCTCACGCTGTGCAGGGCCCGCCGTCGGCCTGATGAGTATTTGTGCTACATCACCCTCCAGGCCAGGGACACTCCATGTGTGGTTTGTGGACTGGCGCCGCTCCGCAAAATCCTTGTGACTGGTCCACAATGAGAGGTGCAGAAACTGAGAATAAATGTTGGGACGGTTTTGCAGCGATTGTCATGCAAGCGTGCGATCAGAGCACTCCCCCATTGAACAGAGTTCCACGGCAGTCAGACTCAGGTGGAAGTCTGTGGCATGAGCTGTGTTCTTTTCACATGTAGTGAGCCCACAGATGCTTCTGCCAGAGGGGGAAAACCCAACCAACCAAACCTTGGTCCTTCCCCACAGGGAGTTTGAGCAGCACAGTTCTAAGCCGTAGCCTAAGAACGGGAAAATCCCTTCTAGAGAAAGTGAAGAGAGGCAAAGCTTTGTTTGTAAGCTGTACTTTTTGAAAAGCGTATTTTCAAAGAAGCCTTCGGCATTCCTGAGCTCAGCCGCCCTGTGAGGTAGGAATTATTTCACGTGTCAGGAAACGCAGAATGGTTCATTGGCCTTCGCCGGTTGGAGGGGCGAGGCAGGGGCCGATCCCGGCCGCAGAGGGTGGCATTGAACAACAGCAGTGCCGGGACGTGCTGGGTGGCTCCGAGCGCGGGTCTGTCTCCAGCGCCCAGGTCTGGGGAAGCCATCAACTGGGTCTCCAAGATGTCAGTGGAAACTAAAGCAAGCAGCTCGTAAAAAAGGCCAGCTGTGGGCGTTGGGACCTGGCTGGTGAAAACCCCAAACGCTTCAGCCCCAGACTAATCAGAGGGAGGCATCGTCAGGCCGTGATTAATGCTGCCTCATAAAACCGCACGGTATAAAGGCCCCTCTGTCTGCCCTGCGTCTGGCCTGCCCGAGCAAGTCACCATCCTGAGATCCAACAGCTCGCCCTTGCTACTCACCTTCCTGACTTTTTCTTTTAATTACTAACTGATCAGGACTGATTGTATTTTGGAAATGGGACTGAATCTTGCTATCTGTCATCATTCCCAACCAGAATGTAAGCCAGAGAAATTCTTAAGCCTTTAAAGACTGGTCACGATAACCCGAATTGCTAATGTTTATTGAGTACTAACTATGTGCCAGGCACTCTGCTAAGTGCTCTCCATGCACGATGTCATCTGGTTTTCCAACACTGTTAGGGACATACTCCTATTACCCCCATCTACAGAGAGGGAAATTGAGGCTCAGAGAGGCGATGCTGTGAGCCAGATGTCCCACAGCTGATTTAAATGGCAGAGCCTGGTCATGAACTCAGGCCCTTCTCTACCAAGCCAGGCCAGGGAAACCGGGCAGGTGGGAGTAAAGGGAGGAAGAAGCAGGTGTCTTGGGTTAGCATTTTTAGGGACGGCTTCCAAAAATAGGGATGCGCTTGAGCAGGTCTTTGAGAGCTAGCCAGGATTTGGGGGGAGGCAAGAAGGAGACGAAGGGAACCAGGCTCCGTTGAGCATTTTGCATTTGTATCTCAGCAACACTCCGCCCCTCCCTATGTGCTGAAGGCCGTACAGCCCCATCTTACACGGAAGCAAACAGGTCTTTGAGAAGCCTACGTAGGTGGCACTCACTTGTGCCTCACCTCTGTTCCCGCACCTGTGGCGGACAGTGCTGACCAGTCAGTGCTGTCCCCTTGAGCCTCATCGGGCCGCTGAATCCTTCCCAACACAGCGCTCCAGGTGGCCACCCTTGACCAGGATTGATATGTAAGATGAAGCCCGTTTGCTGTCCTTGTCTGGTGGCTGGAGAAGACTCAGAAAGAGCAGAATCAGGATTGGGTCTCCTGATTCCAGAGTCTCTCTGAGTTCTACTGCCCAACCCTGGAAATCGAGCACCTTTCCCTTCCACTTTTTTCTCTGCACTTCTGATCCCCCTCCTGATAAAACCCGATTCCAGGAACCCCTTCCCCCAAGATGTCCCAGCCACACAGCAAAGCACCAAATGCCTCAGAAAGGTCCTCATGGAAAAATTAAAACCTAAACCTATCGTTTCAGCTGGTCTGAGCAAAGGCCTCTTGCTAAAGGCTTTGGGAACATGACCTTAGTCAGCTTCCTGGAGAGAGATCTGGGAGATTCTCTGACAGGCTCCTAGCAGCACAGACAGCGGACCCAACCCTGTCTCCCCATCATCCCCTTCCCAAGTCCATGCCAATCGATAGTGACTGTCTGAAGGGCTATGTGGAGATGGATTCTGAGACCATCAGGGTTGACTAGTAATGTCTGCCACAGATGTGTGGCTAGGGAGTGGTGGCAGGAGTCTCAGGCCAGCCAGGCAAGGCCAGCCATCACAAAACACACATCAGTGGCAGCTGGATGCTGTGGCCTCGAAAATGCAAAGGCAGAGCCGGCACCCAGCTTGGGCTTTGAGCCGCAGCAAGAACACTGGGTCCCTGGGAAGGAAAACTCCCTGTCTGCAGGGCCCCAGCCAGGAATCCAGTTCTCTGCAGGCCACAGACACCCACAGCCAGGACAGAGCCGTGAAAGGACACTGTGCACACAGGGATCAACAGTCAGCTGGCTGGCAAGGCCCCCGATCTAGGACTTGTGCCACGGCGTGTATTTGTAAAGCTGATCAGGGAGCGGTACAGGTCCTTGAAGGCCAGAACCACAGACGTATCCAGGGACTGGGGAATCCTGGCGCCAGGCAATACTTACACAGCCCCCTCACCCTGAAATGATGACAAAAGGAAACTCTCCCAGAGATGCTGGGACATTTTTGTCTCTTTGCAAATCATCCATCTTCCAGAGAGGTAGTATAGAAGGGGTTGAGACCCAAGCTGCTGAGTTCAAAGCTTTCTCTACCACATACTAGCTGTGTGACCTTCAGGAGGTTACTTAACTTCTCTGTGCCCCAGTTTCCCAAGGGGTAATATTAGTACCTTCCCCTTAGGGGTGTTGTGAGAATTAAATGGGTTAATGAACGTCAAGCACTGGGAAGAGTGCCTGGAACATAATAAGCACCACGTAAGTGTCAGCTATTCCTGCCATTGCATAAACCACTCAACCTGGGGGAGTCAGCACCCTTCACAGAAGAAGAGGTGACTCTCCCAGGAGCTGAATCAGCCATGCCACTGGGGCTGCTTCAACACTCGGAGTGAGTGACATGTTGGCCAGGTCTGGATGTCCATTCTGACGGAGTGAGCAAAGCTCTCGTTTCTGCTTCTCCAAAATCCTTTCTTAGATCCTGGGAGCGGGGCCGGCCCCAGGCAAGAAATAAGAAGGGCTGGGGTGGGTATTTGCCCCCACAGCTGTCCCCTAACCCATCCCCCTAGGGCCCTGTGCCCTGGCCCAGCCTCTTGGCTGTTGGGTTGCTGCATCCTTGATCCTCTGATGGTCACATCCCTTCCCCCACCCACTGTCCCCAGAGAGGCCCTGACTCACGGATGTCCTGCTTCAGACTCACCCGCAGGACCTGTAAAACTGCGCACCTCTAGGCCTTTCAAACTCCTAACTTAGAGTCTGGGGCTGGGCCCTCGGAGCTCCTTCACAAGGTCGCCAAGTGATTCTTAGGCACCATAAAGTTCCAGACTAGGTTCTGGAGACCTCCCTGTCCGGCATGTTTGTGCTGGAACCCACCTGCAGGTTCCTGCTGATCAGGAGAAGCACCACAGCCGCACTGGTCTTCCCAAGACAGAGTCCAGGATAGGCCCTTCCCAAACGTGGAGTCAGCTGTGTGGCTCCCTGGGAATTCTCATTCTTCCAAGTGTTGGGTGAAGGATAGTGGCCTCTTTGGCCAACCAGAAGCCATCCCGTCCTTGGCCCCTTTCCAGGCTGTAGACTCTGGCGAGTGCTGCCACTATTCTCTCTCCTAGATGAGGTGAGGATCGAGTGAGGGTGCCACAGACTTCTCACAAAGCTCAAGACCCTAACGACCATGCATCTCCCCTGAACTTCGCAGATAGGACACTGAGGCCCAGAGGGTCAGGTACCTTCTCAGTCTTATGCAGAGAGCAGCAGCAGGGCTGGGGCTAGAAACTCAAATTTCCTGACACCCCAGGACTCGGTCCACCTCCCAGGCCATGTCCTGGATCTGAGAAAGTATCTTGAAAAGTCTTAGGGACCCTGCAGATGAACAGGGATTGACAGGGTATGCTGCGAGCCCACCATACCAGAAGGTGTCCCCAGGATCCAGGGCAGAGCCACCAAGGGGACATCCACGGCCACCCCTCAATTTGAGTCCCGCAGGAACCCAGGTCACCTGTCTCTTCCGTTTCTTAAAAGTCTCTTTATCCAGAATTCATTTATTGTGAAACTCAGCAAATACCAGGCCCTGGCCTAGAAGGCCCCCCAGGTTCCTCACTCCTGCTCCCTAAAATCAGGCAATAATTGGGGCTGTTCATTATGAATTGCAGTATGGATTTCCACGTTGATTAACACAGTTTCAAGATGAGTCCAGCCCCAAGTGATGCGATGTGGGCAGGCGGGTTCGAAGAAGGTAAATATGGCAGCAGCCATCCGAGCAGTGGGAATCAGACAGCCTAGTGGGGGTGTCAGGGTCACGGTCAAGGTCAGACGCAGAACTGGAGAACAGTAGTGGAGGATAAACAATTTGCCTTTCTCTTTTTCTCATGCTGTGTGGCCTTGACCTTTGTCTCCCCCTAAACTCCCCATCCCTGGGACTCAACCAAGTATAAGATTTTTGTTCATTAAAAAAAAAAGCCAAATTGAACAGTTATCTATGGATGTATTAATATTCAGATGGTTACTGGTCATATGGATGTGGAAATGTTACTGACTCGAGACCTTGTCGATTCGATTAGAAGGTGCCTTTGCATGTTTTTAAATTAATAAACCATGAAATACCTTCTGCCCATAATGCTTTAATTATACTTTTCTAAGAAAAGCAATTTTAAACTAGATTGACTTTTTTTTTTAATTAGGAGCACTGCCATGAGGTAAATGAAGTAAAAATATTGTTTTGAAGGAAACAAAATCCATGTTGCAAAGCCAGCAAAAATCTAAAATGAACATCTGCTTAAATTACACCATTCTCATCAAGAACATGAATCTGTGACCACAACTTGGGGAGAGCGACAGCTTATTTAGGCCTCTCTTGGGTGTTGACCAAAATTCACAACATTTCTTCCTGGAGAACCCTTGGGTTCTGCAAAAACCTGAAGAAGCTGAAATTGTTCACCAATTCCATAGCTCACCAATTCTCAGCTCCCTGCTTGAGAATCACGGTTGGTTTATCTCCCCCTCCTAGGGCCTGCAGTACATGGATCTCATCCCAAAGGAGAAGCAGCCGGTGACAGGCACCGAGGGCGCCCATTACCGCCGCCGCCAGCTCATGCGCCAGCTCCCCATCTACGATCAGGACCCCTCGCGCTGCCGCGGACTTTTGGAGAATGAGTTGAAACTGATGGAAGAGTTTGTCAAGCAATATAAGAGCGAGGCCCTCGGCGTGGGAGAGGTGGCCCTTCCCGGGCAGGGCGGCCTGCCCAAGGAGGAAGGGAAGCAGCAGGAAAAACCAGAGGGCACAGAGACCGCTGCCCCCACCGCCAACGGCAGCATCGCAGACCCATCCAAAGAATACGTGAGTCTCTCCCATATCTCGGGGTCTGGCTGAAACCACCCAGGGCTGGGGCTGCCTGGTCAGAGCCCCGTCCATGCATTCTCCCATGCATTCATACCTCCAGCAGCTATGTGGTGCTCATTTACTCTGTGCCAGGTACAGTCCCATGGAAAATAGTACAAGGTCACAGCCAACCAAACCGTCGCAGCTTAGAGAAACGGCGTCTAAGCTTGCTTGGGGGAGAGGGTGGGCTTGGAGGAGATGCTGAGGCCCAAGCTGGCCTCTGAAGAATAACTGGGGTCAGCTGGGCCTTCACGCTTTGCAGGGAGGCCTGTGCCGCCTTGAAGAGGTGAGCATGTGCCAAAAAGGCCCCAAGTTCCAGAGTGCACAATGGAATCAGAGGATTGAACCAAGTCCCATGGGGCTGAAAGTGTGGTGAGCTCGGGGGAGGGGGCACAAGGCTGGTGAGGTCGGCAGGGCAGCTTCCTGGAGAGTCGTGCCACCCGCCCATCCATTAGCCTGTACTGTCTGCCCCGCCCCAGAAGCCAAACAAGCAGAGGACACTGTCCCCACATTGGAGAGTGCCATGGACTTAGGACTTTACTGTGAGGGCAGGGGGAGCTGCGGCAGGCTTTCGGTGGGAGGTATCATGGGATCCAAGCTGTGCTTCCGAGAAAGTTTCCTCTAGTAGGAGCGTGGAAGATGCGCTGTGCGGGCTTGAGCCACTGGAGGCTGAGACAACACAAGGGAAGCCGCCATCTGGGAGGGGAGAGCCTCCTGGATGGGTTTGTCTTGCTCAGCCCCTCAGGAGGTGAAAGGACTCGCCTGAGGCTGATGCCACGTGGCGCTGCTGTTTGCCAGGCTTCATGGCCCCCAGCTCCTCCTCTACCTTTTGCTCCCCAACCCTCCATCAGCCAGGTGGCCTCAGTTGCCTCTATTTGACATTGGAGATAAAGGTCTCAATACACAGAGTCCTTAAGCAAATTACCTGTCTTCCTGGGAAGAGACTGGCAGTCCCCACCATGAGCCAGACATCCCGGGGAAATGCCAGCCCAAACAGTGCTGTCGCTACATCGAGAGAGGGCTAGGATCTTTCTTCTCTGCGGTGACTCAAACTTGGTCCCCAAAACTGTGTCCTGCATCTCCGACCCCCATCTCGTTGGCGTGTTCATTTGGGATTGCCATCCAATGAACTATGACCTCACACTGTTTTATCTGAGAACTGAGACCAAAGAACAAAACTTATTTTCTCTACCATGAATTTGGTGATGATGTTGAAGAGACGCATTTCTCAGGAAGAATACCTGTCCTAGGGACTTAAAAAGAAACTAGATCCAGTTACCATGTTTTATAAACTAGTCTCCTGCCCAACCCTGACCTCTGTCCACCCTCAAATTAGCCACCTGTCCTTGAGGAATAAACATGATGTGATTCCGACTTGGAGGGAGACCTCTTTAAGTCCTTGTGACATTTCCAGTTGCCGTTCCCAAAAGAGATGTGCTGATCTGAGAACGTATTTTATCCTTGACTCAGCCCCACGTGTTCGTTCAGGGTGGAAGTGGGGCAGAGCAGCCTGAGGTCCCAGGTCCTTGTCTACAGTCCACTTTAGGAAATAGTTGTGACGCTTTGGAAGCCTTTAAACAAGACCAGACAGTAAGTGGCAAATCCTAGTCAGAAAATAAGGTAAGAATCCAAAGGCAGCCAATGTTGGTTGGCCCAGGCTGACGAGAGAAGACACTTCTCCCTCCTACCCTAACCGCAATCTCAGTGTGATAACTAAAGATGTAATAAGTGGATTCATGTCTGTCACCCCCTCTAGATGGTGAGCTCTTGTCTTGTTCAACTCTGTATCTGTAGCTGCTGTCATCAATACAGACAGTAGATGTTCAATAAGTATGTGATGCATGAATGAATAAATGAATGTTTGAATTAAATTGAACCTCGAAAGATGGGGGCAGTTTGGATGGCCATTTGCCCAGGAGGATGGTGAGATCCCAAGTTCACATTTATTAGGCATCTGCTCTGTGCCAAGTGCTGCGTTCCCTCTTTTGGGGTCCTTGTTTAATTCACACAGTGCCTGGTGGGGTGAATTTCACCAGCCGCATTTTACCGGTGAGGAATGGGAGATTCAGAGAGAATAGGTTACTTTTCCGAGGTCCCACAGTTTCTAAGGGGCAGAACCTGGATCCGATACTCTTTCCACTATGTGATGCTGAGTTATAAAACCCTTCTGGTTATCTGTTCCAGGAAGAAAGAGGCATGAGTGTTCTTGTTTAACTCCCTTTCGTCTCCTTGAAGCCAGGGAGCAAACCCTGTAAAGATAGCTGGATAGCCTGGACCACCCGCCCCCAGCAGCCCCGCCGTGAGGTGTGGATGTGAGCCACGCTCCCTGACCTCCTCTGCCTTACCCCCATGAGGGGCCACGTTAGGTGGATGTGGGTGCCAGCCACTCTGCACCCTGTGCTCCTCTTGTTTCTCATAAACGGGCAGTGTAGGACAGAGACCAGAGCCAAGTGTCAGACACGAAGCCTGACATTGGGTCCCCTGGGGAGGACGATGAGAAGTGGTCAGGGCATTCAACTGGAGAGCCCAGATATGGGAGGAGACGTAGGACTCAGCCTGACACTGCAAATCCAAACGGGGACTTATGAAAGGAGGGACACGTGAAACATATTATACTGGAACCATATTGGTACCATCGCTGTTCATCATCTGAATAGTGATCATTATTACTGTTGTCAGCAGCTACCGTTTAGGGCTTTCTTTGGACCTAGGACAGCATTAAGTACCAGAGGGTCTGACTTAAAGCTCCCAACCACCGAACAGCGTGAAGAAAGGCTGTGGGATTCAAACCAACCTCAGTCAGCCCCCAAGCCTGTGCTCTTTCCTACTTCCCAAAGCTCACTCCTCAGAAAGCTAACCGATCCTATGCCGTAAAAGGGTCATTTGGCCGCGGAAGTTTGGGAAACATTAGAGTGAATGAAACTGGGTGGGTTTCTTTCTGGCTGGACTTCTCTGAGCCTTTAGTTAGAGATAAAGCAGTGATTCTCAAACTAAAATCACCCGCAAGTCTGGTCCAACTCCAGAGGGCTGGGTCCCGCCCCAGAGCTCCCGACTTAGTGGTGCAGGTGGGGCCTGAGAATCTGCATTTCTCGTGGGTCCCAGGTTGATGCTGACGCTGGTCTGGGGGCCACACTTTGAAAGCCACTGCTAAAGAGTGTTAAAAATTATTTCGTATATAAGCTCAGCAAAATTGAATCCCCCATTTGGTCTATGGTGAGGGTCCCAGAGATGATAACACGGGCACTTTCTAGATTTGGCCTCCTGGCTGAGGGAGTCCAGCTTTGAGAACGCCACCCAGCACTCTCGCATTCCTTGCATGGTCCATGGCGAGTTCTGGAAGCACAGGCACAGAATGTAACACACTGCTTTATACCCTGCCCCATGCCCCACCAGCCCTGTCCCTGGCCACGCTGCATCCAGCAGTCGGAGGCCATGAGCCCCCACTTGTCTCTGCTGCGCTCAGCCGATGCTGTAGGACGGTTCTCCTGTGAGATCACTTGGCCCCATCGCACTGCTGTGAGCCTGTTACTGCGACATCCTTCCTCAGAGACCAGGGTCGGGCTGCTGAGCCTCCCCCACGGGCCCTCCACCTCACCGTCCTCAGAGGAAGAGGTTATCCTTCGAGACCAGAGGAGCATTATGGCCAAAAGCCTTTTCCAAATTGCCTGTGTGGAAGTCCCACCCATGGGCTGAGTTTTGAGTGAAACCAGAGAGTGGCAGGAGAGCCAGACTGCGGGAACAGCGCCATCTGAGCCCGACCCGTCCTTGTGGCTGGGGCTGTCCCGTTACACAGATCCGAGTAAAGTTTGAAGATCTGTATCCCACCCCCAGCTTTTCAAGCTCCAGGTCCCACTGACAGTGCAGGGCAACCTAAAGTTAGCCGGGGCACATCCAAGAAAGGAACACGCGCCCAGCTTCGAGCATCCTCTCAAGGCATCATTATGACACCGAGGTTAGGAGAGGCGGATGCCATGGGAAATGCCTTCAGAGAAATCCCTCTTCAGGAGGAAACACTATGGCATAGAAATCCCAGGTCCCAGCTCACCCACTGTCACGCCGAAGCGTGCCCTTTAAATCAGTGAGGCCGATCCCCAAACCTAAGGATTTTGCCTCCTTTCTCCGTCACTTGCCCCACTGTGTGTGTGGGGCGGGAGACAAGCTGGGAACAGGGAAGAGGGGAGGGAACTGTTACTGCACAGCAGGCTCGTTCGTCTCCTTGAAGCCTCGAAGGAGAGAGGTCAGGTTGTTATTACCCATTTCACAGATGCGGAACCGGAGGCACAAAGAGGTTAAGCGGCTTGCTGATGAGAGGGGGAGCTGGTGTTCCATCCCAGGTCCTTCTGCGTCCCCCATCATGTGGAGTCCGAGTGGTGCTGGGCTGGGGCCCAGGCAGGGCGGGTATGGCTCTAGGGCGTGTGCGTTTCCCTTTGCTGGGGTGAGCGGTAGTGTTTGGGCCCAGCCCAGTGAAGAATCTGGGGGCCTTTTGTCTGCCTGCCAAGAGCAAAGGAAGGACTTCCTACCCCACCCCAATCCCACCCACTGTGGGTTCCAGTCGGTCCTGGGAGCTTCTAAGGTTTCCATGGCCAGGGAGCTGCCGCCTCCGGCAACCTGGACCATTTCATGCCAGAATGGTGAAGCCCCCTGTCTGCTCTCCAGGCCTGCTGCTCCCCAGCTCTCCCACCTGGATGGAACCCATGGGTGCCTGCACTGTGCCGGCAATGACCTTAATGCTCTGATTGTTAACAGCTCCGCCAAACCATTTCCCTGCATTTACAGAGCTTACTGGGTATTTTCTCAGAAATCAAATCTACAGATTTCCTGGGCATGTCATTTTGCCCAGGCATTTCCGCCCTTCCCTACACCCCAAACTTGTAACTGAAGAAAGGGGAAGCAAAGCCAGAACATAGCATTTAATATAATCTCCACCCTTTAGTATTTATCACTCCTGCCAGGAGCCA